ACTCCCGTAGTATTTGTACCTAAAATTATGGCCTATCCCTAACCTGGTACACATTCTACGTTCCGGTGTCCGCCATCTTGGTACGCATACTTCAGGAGTACTGTGCACCCGCGTATTTGGGATGCATACTTGAGGAGTACCAATACGCGTAATGAGTTGATGATGATCATGCAAGACTTGATATAACTATGTTGCTGTGTTGTGATTTCTATTATACAAATTAAACTAAACACAGGCTGGAGTTTTAGGACGTGGAACATTTTGAAATATAATCCGTCCCGAACCCTCAAATACGATACCGAGCTCAGGAGATAACTTATTTTAATTCTAAAGTCGATATAAGATTGAAATATCATCAGAATCCGAATTAAAATGACATTGTTGACAGCACGTACAATTTATTCTATATTATTTCGATCTACGTTTCGAAAGAAGATTCAATTTCAAGACAGAATCAGATCAATCAAAATCAGCCGCTCGATTCACAAAGCATATCTTTAGTCGCCACAACGTAACTCCCCAGTGGCTATATTATCCTCGTAATCAGTGGGAAATTTTATGATTAATTATTTTATTAATGTGAGAAAATTTTTATTAATATTTTATTCGTTTAAAAATTCATTGCATTCACAACTATAGAACTGATTAACCCCGGAATTAAATTTAAATCTTAATATAATATTCTGTTCTACTTGCTATTAAAAAAAACATTGTTTATCTGATCAAAATGGGGAATTGAAAAGACATCTCACAAGTAATAACTGCTATGTTAAAGTTAATATGATTTAGTTTTATACCATCGTGATATTAAAAGCCACTTTTCAAGTAATTTCATTCCAATTGAAGTTTTCCCTTTCCCAGGTTCAATTATTCAGAATGGATTGCTGTGGTTTTTCACAATCAGAAATTCAACGTAAAGTAGCTTATGTGTAATCTGATCTAAATCCGGTGGTTCGAAATATATATATATAATCTATATAATCACCAATAAAATATTTTTTCTGTGATATAATTAATTATTGATCAATGATTTTCTTTTTCTATTAATTTTGATTTTACAAAACGAGAAATCTTTTTTCTTAATGTTTTTTCAATATCGCTGATTTGAGAGAAAAAGGGAGCAATCGCTATTTGTATATATATAAGAGAATTGACGAGAGGTGAATATCAGTTAGTATAATGCAAGCTCAAGTACTATCCTAGGAACAAGTGTAGGTAAGGATATAATCAACTGCAATTTTTGTATAAATTAACTCAGCAGCAGTCAACTTTCTCCTTTTACATCCAATTTCCATGGTTATGATACATGATTAAGTTTTTTTTCTGTAATTTTTTTTATATTCTCAAAGTATTGGAGTGTTGTTCCACACTTGCGCGCTATACATTATGTACATATCTTCAGAATTTTTTAGTTTTTCTCAGATTCGGGTGAAAGTTTGCATAGAATAGTTATTTAAGAAATTTTGAATATTAAAGAAAAACTATATGTACAAATACCACAGATTTAAAAGATGAGAAAACAAAGACAAAGAAACTGAGTCGCATCGTCGCTCTGCGATTTTTTAACAATTCTCTCGGGCAAGGTAATATGCGCTCGATAAAAAAAAAATTTCATTCGAAATCAAAGCATCGAATAATAGCTGCAATTTAGCCACCAAGCGTAAGAAGAAAAAAACAGGAGAAAGGAAAATGCCAATTCTGGTTCTAATAATTTTTGAGATATCTGTTTCTACCAAGACAGCAACAGTCCAATGACAGTTATGTTTATTGTCCTTAGAGTTACTTGACCTATAATTTCCTTCAAAAGGAGATATTTATTTTTTGCCATTCAATGCTATATTGAGTATTGAATAATGCCCACCTAATCAATGAGATTGCTTAATAATATCCCTCTGGGATAGATAAAATGTAATAAAATGTAATCGCTGAATACAATGACAAGAATGTTTTACGTTTGTGGGTATAGAACCATTTGGTACAATATTGAGATTTGTTGAGTTTCCAACAGAATATTTATGACTACTCATACCGTAGCAGAGATTTTTGTTTCGAGTTATTACATTAATCTTTTTTTCTCATGCAGATAAACTCGATCACAATTATCGTAAATTATAACAATATTTAAAAAAGCAAACTTAAAATGAACGCAAGGCAAAACGGAACTTCATTTGCAAGAATTACGCAACGTTCTACATTTTCGCTTTTGCTCTGTCTCTTGTTTCTTTCAATTTATGTCGATGCTCGAACTTATCAAAACGTTGATCCCCGAAAAAATGGTAAGGCTGAAAACGATGATGGGCCGTTCAATACTATGTTGCGACGATTACAAGCTAAGAAAGAAAATGGCGACAACAAATTGGAAGGTAGAATTTTTTTTATTTGGTAGAAATATCGTATATAAATTCAAATTATTGTATTCATCTTTCACGAATAACGATCACAATTTGACACATGTTAAGATCTATTCTCATCTCGTGTTCTGGCAGCTGGAATTTCTTAATAACAAATCCACCTTCGAATCAAAACTGGCATGTTCAAAAATTGAAATAACTTTAGTAGCGTTTGACACACGTCACGATGTAAAAGAAATTGTTTCGCAAATATGATGCAAAATATTCCTTCAAACATTTTAATTGAAATGCGAGGCATAAGTCCGCCGTAACGTACTAGTATGGGACAGAATTTGAATATATTTCGTACATGACCCTGTTACTCATCCAACTTTGCATTTAAGTCAGTATTGCCAAATGTTCGTTTACAGCTTATTAATATGGTCGTGTGTCATATAACCACCACCTCAAGCATACAGCTTTGCCAGTCGCGATCTACGTATCGCCCTTACGTGTTGAAATAGCAATTGAGCTAGTTTAGATAAGATGCGAGCCATAAAATATACATGCTAATCCAATGAAAAGGTGGAAATTTTCGTTCAATTATGGGATTTTTGTGACCACAATTTGCGTTGAATTATTATCCTATATTTTTGTGACTTTATTTTGAAAAAATCTTAACGTTGATTGAAAATAAAAACATTGGGTAATTGCCAATATTGCCATCACCCAGAATGTGTTGTCGAAAACATATCTTGTTGTCTTGTTTGGAAAAATTCCAATACGCAGAACTAGTCAAAATGAAAGCAAATCATTCTGGTCATCCTGTTCTTTTTGATTGACCTAGCCCACTTGTATAAATTTGGTTATATAACAACAACAATATGTTTATCTCTACACTTTATAGCGATCTAATTATACCATTTTCTTTTATCAGATAAATTTTATACTCATTTAGTTTACCCTAATACCGAATTAAAGTAGATTGATTCTACTAACAGTGTTTTTTAATGAGATACAATCTCAAACTTTCGTTGAAAATAATTGACCTTAGTAAATGTATTTTCGAACGAGGTATAATGTTCATGTTATTCTATGGAGTAATATTGTTTATTTTATAAATAGTATTGGTCATCGCTATATAGGGGGTCGTAGATATGCCAAACACACAAAAGTAAAAAAAAAATTGTTTATTATTGTTAGTAAACGAAATGTTTGAAATATGCCTATTTCCAAAAAGTAGTTTATGGTTATTTGCTAAATTTAACAGCGTTGCAGGTCGCCAACATTTAATTCATTTCCCTTGATTTCATAACGTATCCTGTGTTTGATATAGCAATTTATTATTAATACTTCTGGTAACAGACAACTACAAGAAATACTATATGCAATGAATGGTAAAATCAGGAAGTGAGATTCCTTCACAATTGTTCAATTTTGAAAGAATGTCGCGTGTGGCGAATATATCGTGAAATATTGATGCATTATAGCTAAAATTTCGTGTTTTAACGGGACACAGTTGAAACGCGAATTCTTTTTTTCTGATATAAAGTTTATTTCGAAAGCGACTTTTTAAAAACTTGAAATTTATATCGAATCTCGTGTAGTACATAAAACATGAGTCGTCAAAATTGCGAAATATATATTTCTTTGCGTTGTAAATATTACAAATAATTACTGGTACATTCAAGTAAATTTACACTTTTTGACAAAATAAAAAATACATAAATAGGACCCTGACATTTTGAAAAAGGTTATGGGACTTTCTGAACTTTAAAAATATAAAATATGTATTTGATATATAAAGTTAAGTGTGACTTTAGGACGTGAAATTCTTTTAACTGGGACAGATATGAACCAAGACAATTTTACAACATGCCACCTTCGCACGTGCGGCGAATAACAAAAACCTATGAGTCTTGTAAAAGAAAAACCTATTGGGTAAACATTCTCCAAAAAACTGAAACTTAACAAAACTCGAAATTCTATTTTATTTTTATTTTTTATGATAACAGATATTAATGGGGTCCACGAAGCACAGATAGCACTCAACAAACTATTGCAAGAATTCAAACAGCTGCAGAAGGATTTAGAATACTGTAAATCAGTAATTCCTTCTACTGGATCTTCGTCTCAAAATCTGCCAAGTTCGGCAAAATCTGGTAAGAAATATTGATTATTTGTTATAATAAATTTAATCATATAATTGCATAACTTTTACAGTAAGATATTTGGAGCTTATCGAAGGGTTAACCAAATTGCTAGAAGCTTATAACTTTATTGAAATATATAAATCTAAGTATTATCAAAAAAAAGATGGGGTAATAATTCTACCCTAATTCAGTCTAACCTTACACAGTCGGGATTGATTTTATTTAGTACATTAAATGACGGCTCAATAATTCATGAATTGTGGTTGACTGAGCATGCAGAGGACAGATTTATATTTCAACAGTGTATCCGTGAAAACGCAAAATGAGTGATGCGAACATTATGTTTCAAAATCTCAAAGTCATGCTTCTTATAAAGCAATTGACTTCAGATTATTGTATCACAAGCATTAATCGCAAATATTGTTATTTTATTTAGCTGCGGGTTCGAAGGCCTTGCATCACGCATGCTCCAATTTTTGAAAAATGAGGCTTCGCCTAACTAAAGTCAGACACGCGTTGTTTCAGCCAACAATTGTTGTTATATAGCATAAGTTTGAATTTGGATGTATTTTATTAAAATTTGTATCTGAAATTTAAAAATCCCACAAGCGACTCAGAAAAAAGTAATTTAAATGAGCATGATACCCTGTAAGGAAAAGGTTGTCCCAAGCCCTTTGATTTACTCTTCAAACGAGAATACACACTAACTTATAAGTAAAATATGCCGATTTGTTTTAAAACAAACGTTGCTTATAATGCCGACAACCATTTTTGTGAATAGGTCATCTTTAAAATGTTATTTTAAAATGTTTGGTACAAATAATCGGTTTTCCTCAGTATCTAATCATTTTAATAATAAACATCGATTGCACGAGGCATCAGGTCAATCGATTTTATTTTTCCATTGGGTTCATTTCCATGCCGCCTAATGGCCTACACAAGTAAATAGGCATTAAAGGCGATTTCGTATAAAAAGCAAATGAATTATATAGATTAACGACTTGGCTATTTGTAAAACTATAACATTTCGCATCTTGTTATGGTCTGGTTTGTAAAATCCCCCACTACGTTATGTGGCCAAGTGACGCCATTTTGGCAAAGACAATATTGATTTAACACTAACAACGACTCTTACCTTACCTTACTTATTACAAATTATAACATTAAAAGCCTTTTTTTTTGATAGCTGGTGAAGTTTCTCATCTGATATCTAACGTAAAATTTTGTACTCTTTTTTACGAAATCTATGTCGAAAGAAGTACTGCCACTAAATTCACTTTTATATTTTTGAACAATCATGATCTTTTCAATTATGCATACCCTCGCTATTATATTTCATTCTCATCACGGTAGTCAGAGCTTTTGATTTGAGATCAAGATATCTATCTATGCTTATAGTTTACCTCATAACACTACATACTTGCCATGGAATAGGCAAATTTATTCATTTATAAGCAATAACATTAAATAATGTTATTTCAGGGTCAGCAAAGTATTCGGGCAAAGAAAAACAATCTCGAATCAATCCATTTGACTCAAACGTTAACGACATTGTTAGCGATGAAGATGATAAAGACAGCATGAAAATCGCTGAACGAAACTATTATGGATGGATGGATTTTGGAAAATGATAATTTTTTGTGATTTTGTGATATATTTCCTTGTCAGTGTTTAATTACATTCCATTGATATCAGTACGGAAATATTGTTTAAGCTCAAAACTAAATTTTCTGACCACGTTAATTTATTTAAATTAATTACTGAATTATTTGTAGTTTTTTGCTGTAAAGTGACAAAATTCGTTTGTAGACAATTAATTTATTTTTCTGCTGTTTAATTATTTGTGCAGTTGGTTTATTTGTGATTATTTTAAAGATTTACTCCAAATAAACTTATTAATGTTCTTTGAAGACGCAAATTATGCCTCTGATATGGTTGTGCTAATGTGTTGACACGCTATTGAAAAAGAAAACAGTGTATAATTTACAAAGAATTTTAGTCAATTCAGATTTGCCTATGAATACAAATCGCCCTATAATTAAATGCGTAGGCTAGGATTTAGTACTCTCACAGTTTCATAGTATGATGTGAAGTCTTTTGGCTTAATCTTCAATATTAAGATTGATGAAATTTAGTTCTTTGAAATGTGTCTCGGTTTAATTAGCAGGTAACATTAATTTTAACAATTTCGTTCAACTGTGTCAAAAATCATGTTTTTCGAAAGAATTTCTATGTTTTGCACGGTGGTAACTTGGTTCTCGGTGACTTTCTGGAACCATTAGGTTTTCTAGATTTTATCACCCGTATTTTTCTTCAACCTGTCTTGCTGCCATTGTGACTATTGTGATATTTGATCAAGTTTTAGACTGTATTACTGGGTCGTAAATAATTTTCCTCTCTATTTATTAAATATATGTTCTTGTGATATGAAATACAAGAGAGAAGCTAAAAATAAAACGAGTGACCTGACATATATATTCACGTAATTATGTGATGGTTATACCGTTTGGTTTTCACTTTGTTTTTTTTTAATGAAAGGGAGGTTACTTATGCATTTGATCTCTTTGAAACATATGTGTGTAAAGATCTGAAAGCACGTATAGCTTGTATACAAGTCAAATATCAGATCTTCATTTTTTCAGTATTGCAGCTGTCAAAACTGTTTTTTCCTAAAAATCTTGATGTCACATTTATATGTCCAACATCTGTCACATTAAAAGTCAGGGCGTATTAACGACATCCGAATGGGCGTTAACTTCCATTTGGATAATAACGGAAGTTCGAAACGAATAAGTCTGTTTATACTTCTTGAGTCAATATTATGTTTAGCCCAGGTTCGGCGATTCATGGATAGACCCCACCCATTAATTCAATAATACAAGTACTTTGATATAAATTATATTGATTAAATTGTTTTTCTTGCACTCGATCGTGATGACTATCTAACTTATGACAATTTTCATATATATCTGAATTATGTAAAGAATTTTTATTTTTGGTAGGTAGGCTATAGTTTTCTGCCTTTCAGCAGAATATAGCACACCCGATGTTAATAGAGATAGTATACCATAAATCTATATATATCTCGATACTGTACACATGTATTAGAAAGATATCATGGCCGTAGTGTTTAAAACATACAAACATAAAATTAATTTCACAATGTACCCCAATGACATTATATCCCTTCATTCATTAAAACCAGACGATTTTATCAAATATCAGCTTTTGTTTAGTCGCGAGTCAAATGTATAAGTACGTGATTGTGAGACACTATTATTTCAGAAAATTACGAAATTGAAACTTACTCTCGGCTACCATCTGAGGGTTTTTGTATTTTCTGGGTCCGTGATCTGTGGAATGGTAGTTAAACTAATTTGAGCCGAGAAAAAACATCCTATGGTATACAATACACCGGAACACTCCACGTCGGATTTCGTTCGCTTCACCGTGCCGTTTCGGAATTCGTTGTTCACTTTCTCACCTGTCGTGCTGTGTACTTGCTTTGCATAGTGCGTTGTGTATAAGAGTTACTTTAACAGTATTTGTTTTTATAAATGATGTACGGTTTTTATTACCGTTGAATTATAGTGACATCCGACGAGATTTCGAACTTGTTGGGGTTCGGAAATGATTACCTATGAAAAAATTGAATCGTGTCAATCTAGTCTAGGGTGTACCTTAAAACTCAAACACTGACATACAGTATTACGGCAGACCTACTCTAGTACAGTATTGGGAATCAACAAAACAATATATCCCTCAGATCATCCACCGTCCAACCACATGCGAGTGCAAAGCAAAATCGCCTCGTCCTTTCAAATCGGGGGAAAAGTGGTTCGACACGTTCAATTGATTTTTATGAAAGTTGGTAATTATAAGAAGCAGGTCTGCTAGAACCTACATCACCAACTCACGGTATTCCTATTCGACACAAAACCATCGAGGCACGGAATGTAAAGTATGAAATTTTTTTTCTTATGTTTGCTCTACCTTAGACCACACCATCTTGTGGTTCGTGTAAGTTGCATCCGATTTCATTGGCAATTAAAATTAGAAACACAATTGCCAAAACAAGAATCGAATAAATTTCAGCAATTTCGTGTAACACAATTATTTAACTCGAATAAACGTTACTTTACTATGCAACTCAAGAGTCCTGCTGCACACTAACACAAATTCATTTCTATAACGTTTCGTTTGATCAAAATCAGACTTCCTCAGACAAGCAGTTTACAACAATGTTAAGAAAAGAACAACCATGCGGTTTAAATACGGCATGTTACAGAAATAAATTTGTTTTAGTGTGCAGCATGACTCTTGAATTGCATAGTATTGGACTTTTATTCCTGCTACAGCATCCTTGCATTATATGCATACGGATCCGCTAGAGCAAAGGCATTAAGGATATAGGGAGTTAGTCTCGCGCAACCTCTAGACTGGAATGTTACTCTGTTTAAGATTATAATATCCTATAATCGTCTAAAAATAAAAATATCGTTTGAGATTTTGATAAGTCCGTATAACCGGAACGTATTCAACCTAAACTAATGTAGCGGGACTGGAATTGTTCTATTTTTTATTGTTTTGTATTTTATTTATATTTAGTGTCTAGTTATTACATATGCATTGGTGTGTGGAGTCTGAGCCTTAAGTCGGCCGACAGTTGGTTTCAGTTACTCGACTCCAACCGCCACTGCATATGTGAACTGTGCTGCGGATTCGCAGTGCCATTCTTCTTGCTTGTGCTGTCGCTGGGTAAGGACCGTATTTTGTCGCTCTTATTTTATCTTCTTTAAGCGTGGATTTTACACTATTTTAATAAAGTCTCTTCGTTTGCATCGTGAACTTTGAACCTATTTGTGTGTCTTTGCAGCACACTGGATCTTCAGAACTAATTATTACAGTATTAGTGGCGACTGGCGAGCACCTACCGGTATTCCGGTTAAGTCGTACTGTTGCACTAAATCAGGAGTGTGCAACCTTTTTCGCAGGTGGGCCAAATATCAATAACCGCGGGCCGCACGTACATTTAACACAGGCTTTCTATTAGTTGCAGGCACAAAATGATGTCTTTTTGTTATTGATCTCATATCATCATTAGGGGTCCTTGCAGAAATGATTAGTTGAAATGCATAAATCCCTAAAACTGTAATTCAAATATACTGTCACACCCAATTTAAACGAATTCAGTGAGAAATTAGCTCTTTTCCCGACTACTTTTATCCAAATTTGCTTAAATGGAAGTGCTAGCAATTCGAAATGATGCCCATTTTAGAAAAAAAAAGGTTACCGAAAAGTGCCATATTTGAAGCCATGACTTTTTTCAAATGTGGAAAGTTATCTTGATTGAGATGTTTTCAGTAAAAAACGCCAAGATTCATTTCAAATAATTTGCTGTTAAATCTTATTCTAGGTTTGATTTAGACAAAATCAACCGATAGGCTGGAACCAAAACTCAGTTAGCTTTTGTATCTTTTAATATTTTCTTTAAACTGCTCTCCATTTGCCTCCGCGGGCCGCACAATTTTCCCTTGCGGGCCGCACTTTGCACACCCCTACACTAAATAACTGTTGTTGATAAAAAAAATTATCAAAAACATAAGCAAGTTATATAGGCGCAGTAAATCACACTTATTCCTCGGTTTGGGGAGACTAAAAAGTGAATCGTTGGCTACTGTATCGTCACTGCGCTTCGACACGTTTTTGAAACAGTTAGGGCACCGACACCTTATTCGGTGGGGATTTTAGAGTGTCAACGTCACGTATAATGTCAGCATCCCAAAATCTTTTGCCATGTCCATTGTAATTTTGTATTGATTATAGGTTTGAATCAGGAAGTGATGTACTCTATTGCAACTTGTTGAAGTTCATGACTAAAAATTAAAATGAAAAAAACGCATCACCACATTCTGCGTTAGGTACTCCCGTAGTGTTTGTATCAGGTTAGGGTTAGGCCATAATTTTATTTCGTTTTTCCTTATTTTAGTTCTATCACCAGATCGGGGACTGTCTGTGTTATTCAAGTGAATATATACCCCCTGTCCATAGTCTTCCGTCCCTTTACACAACTTGATTTGAAGTAGGCGAACAAAATTAGTACCTCCATATTAATTAAACTATACACTTTTGGAGCGCTCTGCGTTAGGCGTTATACTACGATCAACCCTGCGACCAGGGATTCCCCTATAAATGATACAATAATAGTGGTGTTTCAAGCCTGAATTATTCAAATCCGAGGAAACATTTAAAGCCAGTGACATCGATTATTCTCTATCGCTGTAAAGCTGATGTCACTGCAATTTTCCACTTTACGTATTATCTTGATAAACTCACATTTTAGAATGCACGCTTCATTATTTCTACCATTTTAAGTATACAGTATTTGACAAATTCTTCTTCTTTTGCAGTGTTTTGTAAAAATAATTCTTACGTGACGCAACTTGCAGCAAAAATGAACACGAGTAATTTTTATCATAAAATTACTGACACTTTTTAATAATTGTAAGAGAATTGTAAAAAACGTAATATAAAAAATAATTGTCTTCAGTTTAGCACAATATCATTGTACGATAATTTGACCATCTTGTATACATGTATACTGCTAGGGCTAAAAGCTAGTTCACGCCCCACTGCGTTGAAGTCTATGAAAACGTGCGTGCGGTAGAGTGTCTCCAAAATGTCGTGTCCCACTTGTCCCATTTGTCTCACGTGTCCCACTTGTCCCACGTGTCTCACTTGTACCACGTGTACCACTTGTCCCACTGTACCACTTATCCCACTTGAACCACGTGTCAAATGGGACAATAGGGAAGCGTGGTACAAGTGAGACACATGGTACAAGTGTAAAAATATAAAACTTAAATAAATTTAAAACAGGTTCGTATAAAAAGATTTCGTTTAATTTTATTAAGATTGGTATGAAACTGTCACATTTGATATCGGTCATTTAAAACAAATTCAATAACATGAATTTTGTAAAAACTTGGCCACCCACGTATGTGCTCAAATACAAGACGGTATGTAATGATAAGGCCTTGAATGGCCACAAAATTAACTGACTGGCTAAGACCAGCACATGCCAAGTTTTTACGATGTGATTCTTCCGCACAACTACAATTACTATCGATCAACACTTCAATACAAATATAAAATAAACAACAGAATTTACTAGAAAGTCAAAGCAGTATCTTATAGATTTGACAAAATACAAGCAATGCAAAACATTTTCAGGCAACCCAATTTTGGGTAGTGATTAATAGGCTGGGAAACACTGGTCTAAGATGCCAACCAATAGATCCATACGTTGAGAATACTAAATTGATTTCGTGCGAAGCAACCAATAGTGAAATTTGATTTTAAAACTTTATTTATATGGAATAATATGCTAACAAAAATTTTAAATTTCAAATAGCTAATAATATTATATGTGAAATTGAATGTGAATCCTTACATCAGAAATTTTCGTGTTTTCGGTTATGACATAAAATCATCAATTGCTTCCATCATTCATCATCATATATTCCTTATGTGATTTTAGATATATATATGCAACAATAATTCAAAATTAATTTTCAGAAATTTTTTTAGAAAACAATTTCCCGCGATAGAATATTCGATGCGAAAAGAAAATGAGACCCACTTTTGAGATATTTTGAAACATGGGGCGTTAAAATAATCGTAATAAAGCCGTCGTTTGTAATTGTCCTTTGCTATGTGTTGAATTGTTTTGCCAAACCATCGAAGCAAAGCAGTTGCGATAAATATAATAGAATACTGAAGTTACGCCTGAGTTGGCGACGTCACACAAAACAATGTCGAAGGAAAATCGTCATTGTGACTTGTTATGCTAGTGCTTTATAATGTCGGTCGCTTTGTAACAACTGTGGGCTATCTGCAGCATTTCGGAACCAACGCCGCGAAGTGTGAGAACAATATAGTACGTAGCCTATATAACCTGAGACCAAATAGGCTTGAGCTCGG